CAAAAATGTAGCCTAGCAGTTAGCATACATGCTTAGCATTTAAATACTAATATTTAAGGTTCTACCCTGACATACATGTACATAAAAAGTGCCAAAAAAGCGAATAAAACAAAATAAACAAGTGCTGCTATAGCACCTCTTACTGGCAGACTAAAGATGTCTCATTAGCGCACCTGATTTTCCCTTTAGAGACTCTAATGAATATTAACACTGAAAACTGCGATGTCCCCTTGTGCTTCAGCCTGCAGAAGAACGGCAAGTGGGATGGCTCTGACAGTTTTATTAAAGTATTCATCTCACCCTCTCCTGTTAAATAAATGTCCCTTGCAATTTATCATAAGGGTATTGATGAAGTAGAGTGTGGGTTTTATCAAAGCAGTAATTGTTCACAGTGACGCTCATTGTCTGTGAGTGGATCTCTAAGAGGAATTACACATTATTAATGCTTTCTAATATACAGGAACATTCATCAGCATAATGTGTCACGATCAAATAGGTGGCCCATCAAGCAATACAAAACAGCAAGCACTCTGTCGCGCTAGCAGCAATCCGGTTATGTTTGAAAAGGTGCCCGTACTCGCTTTCAACTGCCAAAATAATGTCTAATCTTCCTGCCGTACAAACACAAAATTTTACTGATTGTTTTAGCAGTCTAATATAACGGTTAGATTGATGGGCGTTCCTTCCTCTTCTCTGTAGTGTATTCACATAAAAAATTATATTTTGCATAAAGAAAGTGAAGCCTAATTTTAGGCCCATTTAAGATTTTTCATTTTGTGGCATTTTTATGACAACTACACAAATTTCCCTCTCAAATTCTCTTTAACTTTGCAATAACTTTGAGTTTAATTCAAATTAAAGATATTTTGCTTTACATGTTTATTACAGTGATTTTGTATTTTATCAAGTAATAATAATAATAATATTTATTATTATTATTCATTATCCACATTTTAAAACTTGCATTAACTTTAAGTTTTTTTTTATTAGATTTGAACTTTTATAAGATAATTTGTTTTACATTTTCATTATTTTAATACAGTAATTTTGTACTTTATTACAGTAAAATAATAATAATTATTATTATTTTATATATAATTTATTAATCATGTTTAAACTAGTTAAAATAAAAAAATAAAAGGTAGATACTACAAATATTATCATGATTTATACATTTAAATAATATTTGCCATTTTTAGTATTTTTTCAATGTTAATATTTCAGTCATTTTTTATTATATTATTATAAAATAATATCATTATATTATTACAATTACTAAAAAGATACTAAAAATACTGCCATGATGAATAAATAAAATTTAAATGCATCTTTTTTTCATTTTGCATTACAAAACACCCCAAAATGGCAAATATAATTTTTCTTATTTTGATTTTGTGAAATGTGTGAAATATGACCCACATGACATGTTCCTGACAGGTTTCATACATCTGTGTGATTCGGTGGAGGGACAGCACACAGTCTTTGTTGCATTTGTATTGTGTGACGTCCAGCCGTAGCAGGTTGTCGCCTCTGGTGAGGATATACTGATTCTAATGTCTCTGTGTCTGGCAGGCCATTGTGTTTGACCCCGAGACTCATCTCCCCACGATTCAGGACAGCTGCACCGGCTGTACCCTGTGCCTCAGCGTCTGCCCCATCGTCGACTGCATCAAGATGGTTGCCAGGACAACGCCTTACGTGCCAAAGCGAGGCCTCCCTCAAGCCGTGGAGCCCGTGTGCTGAGAGAAATCCCAGACAAAAAAAAAAAGATAAAAATGTCTACATCACATCATCGAATTTACTTGGTAATTGCAGTGTGAAGAATTAACTTTGTTGTAAAGGAGGGAAAGCAAATAATTAGATTAAAAAAAAATAATTGCCTTATTTTCAGGAGCCAATTATCCAGAAATAATCTTAGGGGGTGTAAAGCGTGTTGTTATTTTGAAACAATAGCGAGGCGATTTGTCGAGGTGAAGTTCCTGCCTCTCTTTCTCTGAGGGCTGATGGGAATGAATCTGAGCAGAGGGAATAGTGGCTGTTTATGCAGATGTGAGAAGACCGCGCTGTATCCTTTAACAAGAGCCACAATGATGGATCGTCCACTACATCCAGAACAGAATGCAATCACATATACAAGAGCTGCTGATGGGAAATGAATGGATTTTAATTGAATGGTGGATGGTTGGGCTTGGAATCACACTCGACGTTGTTTTCCATATCATATGATGATTAGAAAAGGTTTGTTTGATGTTATACATGCTGTATTGTATCCCATCCATACCGCACATACAAGCCCCTAGCTTGCTCTCTGTGATACAGTCAAACACAGTGATGGGCCGTCAGGATAACTGTGCACTTGTCCTCAACAATGATGAATAAATCTCACAAAGAAATGTCTTGGTCATATCTCAGCCCAAAATCAAAAGAAAACATACAATTTAAGCCCATTACATGATAAAAAATTCCAAAATTCTTACTAAAAAACAGTCATTTAATAATTGGCCTCAATTTCTTTTTTGCTGTTTATTTAAAGCAGCATTAATTGTCAAATGTATACAAATAATATTATACTTAACTATATATTAATACATTTTTCATGTTCAATCAAAACTATTTCAGGTTATACATTACTTTTTTTAATCTCAGGTCATACTTTACCTAAATTATACATCACATGAAAGCTGAATAAATCAGCTTTCCATTGATGTATGGTTTGTTAGGATAGGACAATATTTGGTCGAGATACAACTATTTGAAAATCTGGAATCTGAGGGTACAAAAAAATCAAAATATTGAGAAAATCGCCTTTAAAGTTGTCCAAATTAAGTTCTTAGCAATGCATATTACTAATCAAAAATTAAGTTTTGATATATTCATACAGTATATTTGATATATCATACAGTAGGAAAATTACAAAATATCTTCATGGAACATGATCTTTACTTAATATCCTAATGATTTTTGGCATAAAAGAAAAATGGATAATTTTGACCCATACAATGTCTTTTTGGCTATTGCTACAAATATACCCCAGGGACTTGAGACTGGTTTTGTGGTCCAGGGTCACATATTAAGAAATTACATTCAGATTCTTATGTTTCACACAGCTGTAACACTATCTAATTTTTTGCCTAATAATTTACTTATCTGTAAGCCTACTTATAGTAATATGTACTTATCTGTAATTGCACATTTGTGGACTTGCATATTAATAAAAAGTCTTGTTGTCGATCTTATTTGATTAGCACTATTGTAAGCAATTCCCTTATGTACTGTATTAATACTGCAATAACGGTTAGGGTTAATGAGGGCAACCTGCAGATCCACAACACGTGAGAAACATTTGAAGGAGACTGAAATAATTGAGGTCTCACGTGTGCACCTACAAGGGTGACAGTTCATATTTGTTATGTAGATGTCACGTAGTCTGTGTTGTTTACAGACGAGTGGAAGCCGAACGCTGCCGGCTGGTTTGATTAGTCGCCGGGCAGATCAGAGACTGACAATAAATCGGGTTCCATTCTGAAAGCGGGCCCCGAGTCTCGGCTTCAGGGGTTACAGGTTAGTGTAAATGTTTACTTCTTCATTGGCTGGCTGGCGAGATAATTAGAATGACATTTTGCATGGTCGCAGTGCAGGATGCGTGGCGCGCGCCCCTTCTCCGCTTGCGTCGTAGCACACATCATTAAAAATCAACATGGCATCAATCTCGCACCAGTGGTGTGAACTCGAGGCCAGTGCAAACGATAATCAGTGCCGTATTAAACCGGCGGCGGCACGTGGGGGTGTCCTGACGTGTCTCCTTTGCGGAGATGATGAGGGTGCTGGCCTTAACGCTCTCTTCAGCAGCCAGACATTTCTAAAAAGTCCTTTCTGCTTATTAAAGTACACGCTGAACAACAGCATAATTGTGCTTGTCGCAAACAAACGTATTAATCAATGCATTCTGCCGACTACATGAGGACGCGTAACTGCGTGGCCAACTTATCAGGATTCACAGGTGGCCACAGAAATATTGTTTGAAGTGTTAAGGTGAATGGAATATTAAACAATTTGAGATTAAAATCGTTTTTGATTGATTGTACCTCCATTAATGTTAATGATGTTATGAAAAACATTGCTCTTCTGTTCAGGTCACAGCTGTATCCACTCTGTGGCGGGCGAGGGTCATGCAGCTTGAACATGGCTAACCATGAGGTTTTTGTCATGCATGTTTTCCCATTGGCTTTGGCTTTAATTTCAATCCATTGTCTAACGTCTGGATTTGAGCCAAGAGTCAATAATGAGAATTACATGGAAAATATGCTTGATAGTCAAAAAAATTTTGAAATCAAATATCTCAGCTCATACTTAATCCCAATAAATATATTCATATATTTTTATTCAGTTTTCCATGACCATTTGACCATCTGACCCTTTGAATTCAAGCTCACGCAAAAATGACAATTCTACCATTTGCTCACTTCCATTTAATTTAAATATGTATGACTGACTTCTGCAGAACAAAAAATAAGATTTTTTTAAGAAGGTTGGTAAACAAACAGCGTTGGTTACCATTGATTTCCATTGTATGGACAAAAAACACAGTCAGGTCACAGCTGTATCCACTCTGTGGCGGGCGAGGGTCATGCAGCTTGAACATGGCTAACCATGAGGTTTTTGTCATGCATGTTTTCCCATTGGCTTTGGCTTTAATTTCAATCCATTGTCTAACGTCTGGATTTGAGCCAAGAGTCAGAGTGGAATTTAAATGATGATCCGCTAGGCTGCTTTTCTAACATTTGAAAGACCGTGCAGTGCCTGTGTGTGTTAGTGTACTGTACTTACGTTCACTTTTTCCCAAAAGTTTGAGATGTTTGTTGAGTTCTCCATGACTACATTACCATCTGACCCTTCAAATTAAAGATATAGTTCAAAATTAAAAGAAAACATGCAAAATTTTACCTGTTACATTATAACATTATTTTAATGACAATTATGCCCAAACAGTGAAAAATGTCATTACTATAAAACTGTAACTCAATTTTTTTGTTTATTAAAAGCAACATTAATTAAATGTAATACAAATGCTGTCATTATTTACTATATATATATATATATATATATATATATATTAATATATTTTTATATATTAAAATAATGA